TTGGCTATATACCATGCTCCAATAGAATGTTCCATATCTGTTTGCTAATTTAGTTTCCTGTGCAGAAAATCTGGCAAGAACGTGTACTCCATTAAGCGTTGGGCTACTCCGAGTCTTGAAAAATATATTATACGCTAATATCTCCCATTCCATGCCACACGAAATCGGTAAATGAAGCATATAAGTGGGCTGTAATTTCGTTAACGAACGGACAAGACATTGAATAGGAAATAAGTTTGATACACTCCTCTCCAAAGTAAAAGAAACGAAACAGTTGATAGTTATTTCGGATTTAGCAAAAGGTTAAATAATACTTTCAATATTAAGTTCACTGGAAAACAAATTAAAATTACTTATCTCGATTTAATATATTCTTTATCCGACGAGATCGATATCAATCGTTTTCAGAATGCATTAATTACAATGAAAGTAGATTTTTATAGTTGGTTTGTTATTCATCTACGGTGAATTTCTAGAGATAAGTACGCTAAAGCAAGTGTTACATATTAACAATTAACTTCGAAATAAACAATAATTCCCCCGAAATATTTAAAGCAGTATATATATATATATATATATATATATATATATATATATATATATATATATATAAAGAAAGAACAGTAAGATATAAAATCCGGTGTTCTTATAGATATTTTTATTTTTACAAAATAGTGCTCAATGTAAATTTACAGAGCATTAATATTATAAATTAATTGATTATGTGTGTGTATATATATATATATATATATATATATATGTATATATATATATATATGTATGTATGTATGTATGTATATGTATATATATGTGTGTATGTGTGTATGTATGTGCATGTACACGTATGTCTGGGTGTGTGTGTGTGTACATGCCTAAGTGTATGTACCTACTTGTATATGTTTTTTTTTTTTTTTTGTGTGTATTAGTATGTGTTTTTGAACATAGAAATATTTGGTCCTTGTGAAATGAGACAATCGTTATATTCATCTTCATATATTTATTTGATTTTAAATTTTAAGTAAACACAATTTTTATTTTGCTTCGTCCCATCCCTCTTCCCCACCCTTTTTTTTTTTTTTTTTTTTTCCTTCCTATCCGAATTGTCTGTGGTGTGTATATGTCACCACGAAATGTATCTTTATGTATTAGACATCCGTCGACTTTTTTTTTCTCTCCTCTTTTTAAATCCACCCACCCATATCTCCAAAAATTCTCTCTGTCACTCATCCCCATACTTACACTTTCTCTAAATTCTGTTTTGATTTCGGAGTTGTTTTTTCTGTTTTCATTTTGAATTTGTAGGTCTGATGATTTGGATCGTATTTACGATTCCAATGGAATAAATTATGACCATGGAATATTAGTGTTTAAGCCTTTTTTTATTATATCCTTACTCTGTCTTAGACATTGAGTTCTACCTGGATCCTTCCTCTTGGAAAAATTTTTTTCTGAAAATATACATGTATGGGAATTTTTAGATATATTTTCATATGTATGTATATTTTCCACTAATATTATCTATCTATATATATATATATATATATATATATATATATATATATATATATATATATATATATATGAAATCAGCCTACTGCGTGAAATACTCGCTGGTATACAGCTTCTTTTCACGGTTTTGATGCAATTGTGTTGCATTCTTTACGGTGGCTGATGCATTAAAGCAGCGTACCTGTATCTAATATTGCTCTGAAAATTTATAATTCTCCTTGTGCGTCGAGGTTTGAGTGGAACCCGCGATTCAAAGTCCGGTGAGTTTCAGATCAAGAAGATGGTCATTCACGATGACCAGCCAGCCAAAGAATTAGTGGACTCATCTATAAATGCCGTACGATTAAATCCCCAAAGTTTGATACTCCTAGGGTTAGAGACATTTACAATATGGAAATCGAGGAAAACTGGTGAAGATATTTAAACAAGAACGAACAACTGTAATAAGAATTTAATGATTCGTTAAGAAAAAAAATATTATATTAAATTTTCAGATGATAATGATCGAACATGGATTCTTTATTTCTTGCTAATATTTAATAATATTTGAATCGCTGTTAAGGAATATCGAAATATAAAATTAAAAAAAAAAACTTAAGAAATTTTAAAATAATGTGGATTTGATTTCTAATCTTTATACAAAAGTTAGCGTGAATATTTTTTCTTTTTATATTTCAAAGTTTACAATACAATTTGGTTAATAAAAAGAAAACTGCTTCACTGACATAACATTGATTAAATTTTATAGTGATAAATTTCCGATCAGTACCTGAAGACTGTTACGTGCTTAGAAGTCACAGTTGTACCAAACGGTGAGAAAAAAAAGCATTTTTTTTACTAATAGTATAAAAGTTAGGCTCTATTATTTTACATGCACTTTTATTGTAGCCAGCACTCGTTGTGCAATATATACATACTGCAATGGATAACTTGTCAAAATTACGCAAATATGAAAATAACCCTGACATCTCATTTTAACGGATATATTTACCAAAATTACACAAAAATATCTTGAAATACTACATAGTAAATTTATTCAATAAAATAACCATTGGCTTCAACCACGGATTCTTGACGATTTCAGAATCTCCTGGATCTCTTTTGGACGGTCTCCTTGTTTAAGTTTGTGAAAGATGCCATAATCCTTGCCTTCAGTTCATCTTTGGTGTTACAAGATTGGTGGGTCAACTACGCCACACACATAATAATCAATGGGGTTGCAGTCTTGGGTGTTAGGTGACCAGTTGTCAGCGGGGATGTGGTCACAGAAATTGTCTGACAGCTATAACTGATTTCACTGACAGAGTCCTGTTGCCAGACATGAGGTCTTCCAGCAGCCACCTTCATGACTGAGGGCAGCACTACAGATTCAAGAAATTAGTTGTAGGTCTCCGTGTTAAGTTTGATGCCCTGTGGGAAGATAAATGGAGCTATAACTTCGTTATCACTAGTGATCACTCTAAACATATTCATAATTACAATTAGACACATCTATCGATATCCGAATCCTCAGCGATGTCGTCAGATTAGCACCGAAACACTCTGAAATGTTCGTATTGAAGTTTCCGATGTGAATGTCAAGCAGTTATTAAATTTCTAGTGGAGTAAATTGCGTCATTGTGTTCTTTTTGCCGCAGACGGTGACAAACTGACCCAAATCTAATGTGCAGTCTACAAATTCAAAAACAAACAATGCGCATGTGCGACATTAAAAATAATAAACTGCCGACAATTTAGCCTTGGTACCATTATATATATATATATATATATATATATATATATATATATATATAATGATATGAACAATGTCCGACAATTATTTTAAGACATTTTTTTATGTTTATACGTTCTTTTTATAGATACAAATATTTAAGTAAATGCTCTGTTTATAATAAACAGTATTAACAACATTTACCGGCCTGAATGTCCGAGAAATTTTTATAGAAAATATGTGTCCTCCGACAGGAATCGTATACACACACACACACACACACACACACACACACACACACACACACACATATATATATATATATATTATAAATTAATTGATTTAAAATATGTTTTCTTTTCGCTACACAGTTCTAACCATGTTTCAAAAATGGAAGCTAAAAGCCCCGAATTATAAGAACACCGGATTATATATCTTACTGTTCTTTCTTTATATATATATATATATATATATATATATATATATATATATATATATATATATATATTAAAACCTAAAAAGATGTCGCCTGAGTAACTTAAAGATGTTTACACACAAGCAGAGATGTTTAAAACGTAAGTGGTAAATATTTAAAAAAAAAACCTGCAGCAATAACAATGAATAGATAAGTAATTTTCCAAAAACTTATCTTCCGACTCCGATGTAAATATGTCTAATATTTGATAGCTCCTATATTTCATACAAATATATTTTCTAATAGTGAAATTTACAAAGATATCAAAAGATGAAATAGAAAAATTTCAGATGAAATTTGGTCACGAGAAAACATTTTGACGTTTATAAGTTTTCTCATTATAATATTATTAGTATAGAAAAGTTTTGAAATATATTTATTTGATTAACGTTTTTTATTTAATTTATTTAAATTAAATATAAATATGAAGCCGGTTAATGAATTCAGTAGGCTTATCTCACCCAAAAGTCGAAAAATAAGCCCTTTCAGTTATTTACTACATATATATATATATATATATATATATATATATATATATATATATATATATATATATAATGAATCATTCATACAAAAGATAGAATAGTAAAGTTAATGATATAAAAGTGGCTTTCACAAACAAAATTTTAAAGTTGCATTAACCTACAAACCACTCAATGAATGTTAGGATCCTTGTTTTTAATAATTATAAGCTGTATAAGGTATTTCTTTAATGCGCAAGTACTTTCAACTATACATTCAGTCATCCTCAAGTATGGAAATTATTTTGTTTTTATTAAAATTCAGGTAGCATCCTAGACGAAAAAATTAAATGCAAATATGTTTTTTTTTCCCATTTTATATCATTAACTTTACTATTCTACTTTTTGTATGAATGATTCATTATATAATATATATATATATATATATATATATATATATATATATATATATGAATGATTCATTGTAATACAAATTGAACTGCACCACAAATTTGATATATATATATATATATATATATATATATATATATATATATATATGTGTGTGTGTGTGTGTGTGTGTGTGTGTGTGTGTATTTATGAATAAAAATGACAATAGGAAAACTGGTAATTGCTGACGCGTTTCGTCCAATGTGGACTTTATCAAAGCAAAATATATGTCATTTTATTCATAAATATTGTCTTCTACCGATTAAATCGGAGAAATTTTCACATCATATATATATGTATGTATATATATATATATATATATATATATATATATATATATATATATATTCATCCACATAAATAGATAATAAATAGAATGAAATAGATAGCTTACTAATATAAGGAGATAGATATGATCAGACTGAGAGAGATAATAAAAAGAATGAGATAGATAGATAGATAGATAGATAGATAGATAGATAGATAGATAGATAGATAGATAATAAACAGGATGAGATAGATAGATAGATAGATAGATAGATAGATAATAAACAGGATGATATAGATAGATAGATAGATAGATAGATAGATAGATAATAAACAGGATGATATAGATAGATAGATAGATAGATAGATAGATAGATAGATAGATAATAAACAGAATGAAAGATTGATTAATAGGGACTGAGATGGATAGATATTTATATAATATATTTAATGCGATAATTTGATAGATATGATCCCACTGAAATAGATAGATAATCAAAAGAATGGGGTAAACTGATAGATAGATAGATAGATCGATAGATAGATAGATAGATAGAACAGAATAAAACAAAGTAAAGTAGAATAGATAGATAGATAGATAGATAGATAGATAGATAGATAGATTCAAATTGGACTTAGCAATCGTCACCTCGTCATGATATAGTTTCAGTTTTTTGTTTTCAGTGACAATACTCTAATATTTATTTCACACTGTCACTGCGTGATTACGTGGAAAAAGAATCTGATTTTTCCCAGTTCTTTTGAAACCACATAAGTTTCAACATATTAGATATAATTTTTATATCAGTATAAAGTAGAATTCTTGTTATAAAAGTTGTAAAATTTAGGAACATCAAATTAATTTTTATATTAGATTTCATGTGAGAATTTTACAGGTTTCAATCTCGTCGTTTTCTGTACAATTGCATCGTATAAATGTAAGATCCTACGTCAAGAACAAGTTTGATTTTTCTTTGTTTCACTCGTACGTTTACGCGAGTAGGTTGCCGAAAAATCGACTCGATGGGTACTAATTCAATCTCTTTTCATAAAGCATAACTTGTAAATGCTGCAAATAAAGATTCATCGACTTCTTTAAAACATTGTTTAGTTAATAAACATGTTACTGATCACGTCAGGTAAAAATGACAAGAACAAGATCACATATGTGACGAAAAAGATAACAAAAATTGTCGCCTGCCTGTAATGATAAGACAGTCGTTTCACACCAAGTAAATAAGTAGATGAAATAGGTCATTCAAAGCCTACGAGCATAATACTGAAGAAAGTAGAAGACATACATTTGTTATTGAAACTTGTGGCTAACGCACCAGATGTTCCCTTGCTTTTTGCAAAGGAAGATAAGATGTTTTCTTCTTGAGTGATCTCACAGTAATTGATATCTTGTGTTTTCGACACGTTCTATAATGAAATAATGAATTGTCATTTTCTAATAGTCACGTTTTCATTAATTCTTGATAGAAATTTTGATCGTCTGTAAGAAAGACAAAAGATGTGAAAGGGCGCGAAATGACACCACCAAATGTAACATATTTAACGTAAAGAGGTACACACAATAATATCCATATTTGCCACTTTATACTATATATATATATATATATATATATATATATGTCAAATATAACATATATTTAAAGTAAAGAACTTCGCAAAACAGTATCCATATATACCACTGTATATTATATATATGCACATATATATTATATATATGCACATATATATTATATATATGCATATATATATATATATATATATATATATATATATATATATATATATATATATATATGACAGTAAGAACACATCTGTCTATATCTCCGAGAGATGAAGTATTATGATTACAAGCATTATTTACATTATTAGGACTGTTGTTCTCATTTTCATTGCAATATTCACAACGTTTCGACAGTTGCAGGCACCTGCCTTCTTCAGATGACTGGAATTTCGAAACGAACCCTTTATTTGAAGTGGTGAATATGCCAATAAAGATGAGGCTAACAGTCCGAATAATGTAAGGCAAGATCACAGTAAGAAGACAGTTAACTATTTTTTCTAATCCACCTTTTGCTTGTTTTTATTAAATAAAATGTTGTCAAAAATGAAAAGAATCTTAGACATAATCATGATTATTTTTCAACATAATCAAATTAGAAGTTCTCACAATCTCCTTCTTTTGCTAGATAAGCCCCCCCCCCAGGAGGCGGACGATTATGTCTTTCCCCAATCGTTGTTCAGAGCAACACTCCCTGTTTAGCATTTTCTCTTTCTTTTGTTCTATTATCCATTTTCACATTATTACATATGTTATTTACTACTTATCCCGAGTCTCTAATATTCAGTATGACACTTAAATGCGAAAAAAACCTGCTTGGTCTATCCATCTCTATCTATAAAAGGCAGGATGTGTGTGTGTGTGTGTGTGTGTGTGTGTGTAACGAATGCACGGCCGCAACTTTCGACGAATTTGCACCAAAATTTACATGCACATGCTCCAAGTTAGCGAGTAAGCCAAAGCCGACTTTGCATTTCCCAACTCCCACCGATAGTGGAAATAATCGATTTTTTCATGCTTCTACGGCAATTTTCATATAGTTTGCGGCCATTTTCTACTAGTCAGAGTGAGAGCCTATAGCTGGCTGCCACGAATAGGCACGACGATTCTATTGGCCAGCATGAGAGCCAACAGCTGACTGACACGAATATTAACTAGCATGCTAGCATGCAAAAAAATCGATAGCTGCATTCGTCACAAGTGGGAAAATTTTAAACTGCATGGCACTTTACACCAATTGGCTCATTCGCTTGTTTAAACTCAACGTTGATTCGGATTATGCAGAACTGGGCTGGGTGTGAAAAAGTATTTGTTGTTAACATTCTTTTTGTCATTCGGTTTTTCCAGTTACGAGTCCTTTTTTAAAGCTGATTGTTTTGTGTTCATTTTGTTTAGTTCTTTTTTCGTAACAGATTTAATGTCTAGTATAGAGCTTAGAAACAATTTGCAGTGTGAGATAGGCAAGAAGTAAGGCAAGTAGCAACATCAGCACGGGAAAGAGCACTCCTTTAAAGGCAAGGAAGGGCAAAAATATTTTAAGTCAAGTGATAGCGATTGCTGTATGAGTCGTACGATTTTTGAATCAAGCACGGGCAACGCCAGGCCATGCTGCTAGTCTATCTATAAAATTCTATGATTTATGTTAATCCGCCTGATGTACTCCCTAAAATAGAACTACATAAAAATAAATGTGCCATGTCTTTTCAGGACGTAGCCGATCATGTCTCCTACCTGCCTCTATCCCTTGGAGCTCTCAATAAGTTCCTTCCTTCTGCTTCCGTCCCCAGACCACGTTCTGTCATCCACTTCCTTAAACCCGCCAGGTATGTACGCGTTGTTTTCCCTTATCTCTCTTTCCCTCTATTCGACCTGTGCGTATCAGATTCTCCAGGTCCTTCTTCCTCATTATGTGTCCCAGAAACTTCATCTGCTTCTTCCTGATATTAAGTATAAGCCTCCTTCTTGTTTGCAACCTTTCTAAGATCTCATCGTTGCTCAACCTCTATAAGATCTCATTAGCCTCTCGAAACCAAATTTTGTGAAGGATTGCAAACAGGTAGCGGTGGCATACTACAGTTGGTATTTCTAAGGTGCATAACTTAATACAATAAATTTTCATTCATCTTTTTGAAAAAAGTTAATGTTTTATTAGTCAACATACAAAATACTCCTGCTATTTTAAAAACAATTTAATGACTAAAATAAAAAAGACACTTATTAATAAAAATGCAATATTGTCATCTGTATATCTTTTCATCAAATTTTTATATATATACAAGAATTCAGTTTTCAGTTCACCATGCGTTTGCTAGAACTATAAACAAATCATAAGGTCAAACGTTTCAAAAAGTTGGAATTTGGCTTCAGAACGAAATATTTACGCATGACCCGTTGTATGGTGCATGCTCGAGTGTAAGAAAACCTAAGAAGTTATTCTTTCCTGTTAAAAAGGAAAAAAAAGGATATTTTCTTAAAAAATATTGTTTAACATGAAGTCCTATAAAATTAAATTACAGAAATTATTAAACCGAAAACTAGGCTTTTTGTCACAGTATTTTTCAAACAAATCAGCTTATATAAATTTCATCGTTTTTTTTTTCGAAACTGAACGAAACGTAGTGGTTATAAATCTCAACAAAAACGTTAGCTATAACTTGAAATATAATATATACCGGGAGGAATTCAGCACGCGTCAACCTGTTGCAAAAAATTCCAATATTAAAAATTAAACAAACCATATTTAATATGTGAAAAAGTTCAAGAGACTCAATTATCGGACATCGAGTTTCTCTTCAGCGTCTGATAAATACTGACGTTGACGAACAGAAGTGGATGTTCGATAGACATGAATTTTTAATATTTCATCTATCTATCTATCGATCTATCACACACTTTTTTACATCTATCTATCTATCTATCTATCTATCTATCTATCTATCTATCTATCTATCTATCTATCTATCACGCACCTTTTTACATCTATCTATCTATCTATCTATCTATCTATCTATCTATCTATCTATCTATCTACTTTACGAGACCGAAAATCATCGCTTTCGAAAATATACAAAGACTTAGCAGACTTTGAAACCGATATTAAAAATAAGGATAATGTAACAAGATTATCCCTTTGTGTATTTATTGGTGTATAAAATTTGCAAACGGCGACTTCTTATAGTGAATGGGTGAAACTAACAGATTAAAAAAAATAAAAACTTAGACAATGAAAAAGTGAGATAAAAAAATTCAAAAATATTAATTATAAGCATAAAATAAAATGTTAGAATGTATTGAAACCGTAACTATAAATTTACATCGCTATAAATACACCATTGTAATCTCGAGGGCTAAGCATTCATTGAAATTGAATGTGTCAATGCCAAAGTCTGCTTGGAAAATATAATTATTCTAACGTGATAAAATAAATAATATATCCACATTTACGGCACAATTATTTGAAAAGAAAACAACAGAAAATCAAGTCACTACGAATCTTCTGTCAGAGTTAGCTCCTCCTTAAATCCGCAATTGTTCACTAGGGGTCGCTCTCCTTACCCTATAAATACTGGGCAACTTCTTGCCACGTTCTCTTTTTTACTTTGGATTTTAGTGGACACATTTAAAAATGTAATCTCTCGTAGAAATCAGCGTTTTCGCCCACTTATTGGAAAACGCCATGAAACACATACACGTACGTACGAACTTTCACCACCATACAAACTCTTTACGTTTGCACACAAACACAAATGTTAATGTCTTTGTCACTTGTAAATTTGTTGTTTTATACACATATTTGTTGACATATATATATCGGTCATGTTTTTTTTCTATACCTCTTCGGTTGGACTCAACTTGAGTCCGCCATTTTTCTTGTAGTTGGACCTTCTTCTAGCAGAAATAAACAGCACGTGTTTCTAATTCAATAACACACAAACTCACCGGGTCTACTACACCTCTAAGATAAATAATATTATCGGTTTTTATTCGCCTTGTACTTTTGTCTAAGGATTCATTAGGTATTTACAGATAATCCAGGTCTGACAAGGAGACGCAAATTAAAACAGATGGAGAAACTACTCTGCAGTTAATGTTACATTATTTTCTCTATAAAACCTCTTAAGGGCAACAGGGGATTGCGAAAGATGAGTCCAACCATTTACATTGGTTTGTGTGTGAGAGACCGACACACACACACACACACAGAGAGAGAGAGAGAGAGAGAGAGAGAGAGAGAGAGAGAGAGAGAGAGAGAGAACGAAGAAGTGTCTGGTCGTTCATCGTAGTCAACAAGAAAATAAGATCAGAATCGCAAGTAGTAATCGAGTGTTACTGGCTTTCATTTTCTCGATAAAACGAGAAATTAAAAGTCAGTCTTTAGTAGCAACCGACAGCATTTCAGAATTGAAAATTACGCAATGCTCGAATCAATGATATCAAATTTTAATGATTGCAAGGAATACCTCTCAATGACCATTGACGTATATAAATATAGCCGAAGACACGCCCTGCTTGTAGATACTCTCCCACAAAAACGCTGCTCGAATTCACCTAAGGTAGTGTGTTTGATGACAGAAGTCTTTTCCCCAAGAGTTATCTTTCCATTAATCATACTCTGGTGTATCGTCCTTATTTCCGACAAGTAAATTCTCGCCGTTTTGATTGCAGGTGAATCTGCAATGGAAAGTCCACGATCTAACGTTTGGTTTGGTTTCTTTTACGGCATATC